CCAAATCGCCAACCGGATTAAATGGATAACAATCCAAACGGCGATATGTTAAGCACATTTGTACTAAAGGAGAGTGTATAGAAGTAGATAAATGGAAAATATTGTAAATTAACCAAAACAAATTATATACAATCTCACTTCATTTTGTTATTGGGTAAAATATGTAATGTAAGTTGGCATTCTTAATATATTTCAATTGTTAATTATTAAGTATAATTCTTGAATAGATTACTAGTACAAATGAAGACTTTATAAAATGTGTATCATCTTTTAATAGACTATCACTGATCACTTTTACGATCTCAAATGAGAAAAATTTAATATCTGTCAATTTTGTTCACAGAAATATGACTATCTAACTAAAGTCAATTCCAGGTTAACTCAATAATCCCCCATAACTTTACATACTAAGAAAAAGAAAGTAATTTTATTGTTTACTTAAATATGTATATTTCTAAGTGAAATAAACTCTGAACTTGTTATATCGAGTGATTGCGTACCCTCTTTAATAATATGAACGTGATAAGACCGCCAATTGAAGAGCAGCGAATTTATCGATCGGACCAGTGATAAACGAAAACCGTATAAATAATCTAGAGCATTATTCGGTCCTGCTATCTGCTTAGCCCAACCAGTTAAGTTCAGAACATCAATAACAGCCTCTGAAATATGAATCGGTATTCTCAAACATACTGGATTTATATACCAAACAAACTGACCGCATCGTATCATAAAATAGAAAATAACATTTGTACAAGATTCAGCCCAATGTGACCGTGAATAAGGGGAACAGTAATTAATGGACTAGGGATCCAATCCACAAAGTTGAGCAACCATTTCATCAATGTCTTCAGTGATGTGATATCTCCCAACAGACCTGATTGAACTCCACTGGTTACTGCTTCTCACTAGAACTCCAGGAAATATCTCATGCAGCCAGACATTATCAAGAAACTGTCTAATTCATTGTTTTAAATAAATAATAGCCTATTTGTTCATGGACAAAGTTTTATTGAAGCATGTCATATCTAACACTCAAGTTATTTCATTGAATAATTACTATTCCTTAAATACAACACAATGTATCTTGTAAGTAAAGATGAACAATGGCTAGTAATGGAATCCAGGTACTATGCATCTTTGCTTATAATGCTTGTGAATTAAGGCTATATCGAGGCAATATGCACATATGCCAATTAGAGACTGACCAGTTGCAGTTCTAAACATCAATGGGAAGATTCAAACAAACAATAGTACAATGTAGTTTAGTTTGTTATTTTCATTATAATTATTATTTGGTACACTACTAAGTAAATCATTTGAACACTCAATATCTTTTAAAACATAGAAATCTTGTACTAAATCAAAACTCTACAACAGTTACTATTCACAAACATGAAACGACTGGAAAAACAAAGAAAAAGACTTATTTTCTGTATAACAATACCTACACAATGACTCATTTGGAGTTGGGAATCTTTCATGACAATGTGAGTTGGTGGCCTGTTTAAACATCTGGGCTACCTGTTTCCGTCATCTAGATATTTCAACAAGTTATCTGATTTCGTTTGTTTTAATACATCATTATGCCTATTAATCGCATAACCTATTCAAGTGCGTTTCTGAAAAGTGTAAGACCTTTCGCTGTAAAGGTTACAGAAGGCTTATTCAGAGATATCGTGGTTTCTGGCAATATGCAGCGACAAGAATGTACATTATCCAGATGTCAATTGACTGGGCTGCTAAGTTCTAACTGGCGATCACTCAATATTCATCGTCAGGAAGGACGAAGAAGTAAGAAACGGAAACTTGTTGAAGTATTTTGTGCTGAGAATTCTATATTGTACCAAAAATATAATATTGAATAAAGCTAATAATAATAATAATAATAATAATAATAATAATGTACTCAACTTCCTCACCTTCTATTATTAGATTCAACATTATATAGAATGGGTATTTAAGTAATATTTCTCATTTACAGTGGCAGAAACACACCTCAGATTTCTTTGTATTATTGCTCAAGACGATCAGAAGATTCTAAATTTTGCAATGGTCTTCACTTAACAGAGCTATGTGATCTGCAACAATAAGTATATTTTCAGATAGATCAACTTCTATAAAGCTTTAATTCTACAAGAATGTCTATGATGAATTTAAGCTGAAGTATTGAAATGAGCAACCATGACGACTAACGATTGATGCTATCATTTCCGATGGTACTTCACCGTAAGTTTTGACTCGACTGCTAATTTTCTAGTAGAGAGGCTTTATAAGATTTATGTACTTTCAATAAGACACTGCCATAAAGCCTGTCAAAATACGAAATTGAATGCTGCTTTACAGTCAAGTAATACCACTAGTCTAGCGTCGGGAGGCATAATTACATAATTATAAAACAAGGATCCACTATTATTCAACAACATATTATTCGGTTAAATAACTTAAATCATCTCCCAACATATATTTATCACATGAAATAATAGAACTATGATATGTACGATACTAAAGAATTCTAAGCTGCATGAATCAATCAACTTACGGAGTATAACTTTTTGATAAACAGAACGGGAAAATGATTAAAACCTTTTAAGATTATCATTTATCCAGGTAGAGAACTAATATACTATTTTCAGTACTTATCCAACAATTAAGCATTGATTCTAGAATTAGATTTTGAAACCTTATATTATGGATGGGCATCGTAAATCAGAACATTTTACATAATCTATGTACATAACTCATGAGTATTGAGTAGTGGACAACTGGAAAATATCTGTACGACCAAGTTAATATGCACACATAATTATATGATCCGCTAATTTTCGCTTGCATTAAACTGTCAATAGAAAGAATCCAACTGATTACAAATTTGTTGTCTTGTGGTTAAGTGTACTGGTTTATGGTAAATGACTTTGTTCAAGATTATTTCAATTTGCACTTAGTATACTACTGTAAGTTTTAATCAGTAATTTAAAATATCTTAGTTCAGATATTGAGTAAGTTCAGCACATTTTCAGTTACAACTCAACGTTGGTACAGATTTCGTTTAGACGTAAACTCCTAGTACTTGCGGGAGATAATTTATAGGTAGTTAATTTTTTTGAGATTAGAAAGCTTGTTTATTAATTGTTGATAAATTCACAGGGCACCATCACTTTATTTAGAGAAGTAGTCTGTTCTTTATCAGAGTCTAACTTGGAAGGTTTACCGTCTTCCAAATAATTACACGCAAAGTATGTTCGAACAATATACATATAAAGTGCTTCTACGACAGAACAACTGCATTATAATTATATTGAAACCAACTTGTATATCTTTATTCACCTTGTAAAAAGAGTGAATTATACTGTGACGTTGTGGTGTATACTACTTATGCTGACAGATATATGTAATACGTAGCACCAAATCATTACATTAGGTATGTATTTCGACTATAATTATGCTAAAATTATTTAACAGACCAGCACATTTCGATAAAATAACGCAAAACCTTACACAATATTGACTACTAAAAATACTAAAGATAAAGTCTTACGCAATTTCCAAATGACGATATTAGTAAACCCTGATAGACACCACTAAATGTCCCCAATCCAAATGACAATCCCCCATAAGTTGCGACTCGACCAATAACCTCAAAGACAATGAGTAAATTTTGTTTGAAATGGTAATATTAAGTTAATTTAGCCAGGGCTGTCCACTTTGCAGCTAATTAAGACAGAGATTATTTTTGTTTATTGTTCATAGAAGCCAGTGTTTTATGGGATGTCAACAACCATATCACCTAGACCTAATTTCATTTAGTTGTCGGGTAAAAGAGAGATGACTAGAGGATCTACTAGATCTGTAAGAGAAAATTATTACGCACTGACAAACAGAATATATGAAGACAGAGGAAACGCACTTTTTCTAAACAGGAAATAAAAGGAGTTTGATGACTTAGCTTCCTACTTTTTCAAAGTCGATTTTCTAAATATTACGTTGCTCACACTGCACTTCTGATTTATACATATCGATCCCCAGTTGATTGTCTATCTTATGACTTTAATGCATATAGTTTAAAGATCTGTCATGATAACCGATGTACATTTATGTGTTCATTTGAACACATTGTTACAAGGAGGCATTAAATATATATGCGCCACAATCTATCATTTGATTTGTGTGGGGGCTGGAATACTGCCCGGGCGCCTAAGCTAAAGCAGATGGTTTTCTTAGGGAGCCACACTCCTATCATCTATATGGTTATCAGTTAAATCCCATTGCATTCGACGATGCCAGTCGGCGACAAACGTCGAGGTAGACAGTAGTTGTGCATACTTAACATATATCCCAATTAACTTGATTGATGAAAATTTATTAGGTCATTAAACGATTTTCCACCCTTACCTAGTACCCCATGTCTAACGTCGGCATTATTAATTTGTTCGTTCAATTATATGTGACAAGTGTCTCAAAGATATTTACGATTAAATACCGGGAAACTAGGTATCTTTCTCCGATTTTCCAAACCACAAAGCCAAATCTAATTGTCAAGCCAGTTATTGGTTAATATTCTACGGACAAGACTGAAATTTCTACTTGGTATAATCGAATAAAAATCAAAATAATTTGTATTAGATACAATACAAATAACTTAGAAACTAAATGTGATTCAACACTGTGATGAAATCACTAATTTCTGGTAGATACGCTCTGTCTAAAAAAAAATACACTCCAGCAACATTCCATTTATATGATATTATGTCTTGTTATTATTTACACCAATTGAACTGCATGATCAGTTTGCTATCATTACAACAACTAAAAACATCATTAGCGAAGAACGAATGAGCATAATCACAAAAGCTATTCAATAAATAACAGTGGTTATCCCATTTTAAATAAAATACGTTTTCACAACACCAATCAAAAATATCCCCATGATCGAAAGTGACAAAAAAATCAGAAACCAAAGCACAAAAATGCTCTTTTTCTATTGGGTTATGTATAATTATTTAAGAAGATTCATTTTGAATCATCATACTTAAACTAGATTGTACAGTACCAAGATGAGATCGCCATTGTACCAATGTATCATGTAAGTTAACCCATTGAGGTCGACCAAATGTACGTGGAAATGCTCCAGTTATAAGAATTTTCTTTTGAACTTGATCTAATTTACATGCGACAGCTCTCTGGCGTACAGCTAAAATGAATGCAAAGTGTTATTATATTATATTCATGTTGTATAGACAGCACAGTAACCAACAAGGTCATCTTGATTTCTGTAAGAGATGTGTGGGTCGTCAAGCACTGGCTACTCACACAGTAAAATACATATTCGTCAGATACATGAAGATGAAACTGCATTAGCAGTGGCCTTGATGGTCTGAGAGCATAATTACAATTTTCAATGGAAAAATACCTTAGACCTGTCACATAAGTCCTTTTAGTGCTCAGGTTTAAATGTGTTTAGCTCCGTACTCCTAAAGCCTTACTGCTAGTGCCGGGAATACAGAGGGCAAGATGTGTGCTATTTTTGCAACCAACCTTCTCTAGTTACCTTCACATGTTGCTAGAAAGTAATATCAGAAGGACTGCTGATTTTCTGAAGGAGTTACATTACTGCGATCAATCTCAGAATCGTTCACAATGGCACAGGTGTATACACTTTTTATATTCCTTTAAACCTTGAGATTAAAATTGTTCCATATCTGTCTTTCTTCCTGTACTATATCCTTATATGCAACCACTAAATTAACTACTTCTATGAATTCGGTATTCATCTTGTTGTGCTAATGAGGTATGGCAACTTGGACCGATGAATATATGTGCCTTTTATTTTATTTATTTACTTAAACACATAAATATTGGTGCAAAGAAGCACCAGATAAATATGCGCCTCACAAATCTCATTTCATTTGTGTGAGGGCTGTGATACTGCCCAGGTGCCCAGACTGAAGCAGGTGGTTTTAGTAGGGAGCCACACTCGGAGCCTTTGACCTAAAGGTCTGATCCACAAGGCAGTGGAGCATCGTGAGGAGATGCAGTCCCATGGTAGCCGGTGACCAACAGTTGGTTCATACGCCATTCGTTCCCTCAGGATACTAGAGCCCATGTGCACCATTGGTTTTGAATCAGGGTTTTCCAACTCCCCTAGGTGGATCCTCCACATCCACCAACCCGGTTAAAGCGTCAGACATTCGCTTTTCGTCCTCTCACTTTTGTGAACAACACCCCCGCCACGAGAAGGCAGTGAGTAGGACTTCCCTGACAGAGGCTATATATTCGCGTGGCCATATGAGAGCATTTCGAGAGGGAGATTAGACTCTCCCCACTTTCGGCCGTACCAGGACATTTGGGGGAATATATGTGCCTGGTCCTACGTTGTAGTTGACTGACTGACTGAGATCAATGATATGAAAATATGTGCAGTTACGAATGACATTTTATAAATATAAAGGAAGTTTTCATCATTATGTTCAAGAGAATAACAAGTATATTCAACAAATGTTACATAAAGTGCAAAAAAGGAAATCTCTACAGTGTCAACTGAACTGATTCCTATTAAAAGTGTAGTTGCCCTAAACTTGTAAAAAGTACTCGAAAGCTAAAACATTTGATAGTAATGTCAAAGTTGATTCGAAGATTTGTTGGTTTCATCAACCCTAGTTGGTTGAAGGGCTGATGATCATGGAATACATAAAAACGCGACTGGAATATCGTCAATCTACATTTACAAAGCAAACGAAGTATTTGTTTGTCTACAAAGATGGAGGGCACATAAGACAACATATCATTATTTATTGCTTAAAGCATATGAAAGGTAGCTACTGAACACTGAAGACATGTGTAATTCATAAGTGTTCAATTACTGGTATCCTCGAGACACTAACATGACGTGATGAAACAACATGGCAAGCAACCCTGATATGGAACGTAGACTACTACGTACAAACAGTTACCTAATTCGAATGACAGTAGCAGTGGAGATATGTGGTACTTAAGTCTAAGCAGCATCTGCCTTATTCCGTTAAGCTCAACAGCATAAAGTATAGTTAGTAAATGGCGAGATATTAATAAGATAAACCAAGTCTACGATGAAAGATCAGATGATACGACATTTGCACAGGTGAATTCATCCCTCATATTTCTCTAAGTTCTTAACTTTATGCTAAACGATGCCTTACACTGTTCGATTATATTTTATTTACTCTGATTCTTGGAGTAATTTGGTCAGTCCTCCTGCTTCAGATATTAGTGTTTTCAACGATCTTCTAATTCTCGTAGTGATTTCGTTTTTCTTACAGCCCTGAAGTCAATCAATGAACTATAATCAACGTAGAGTCTGGAACAAATGTAAGTTAGCCTAAGTTGCCATATCAAAATAGCATAAAAACAAAATCAACAAAATAAATAGTGAATATGTCATGGTTAAAAATACCAAACATTCATAATATAACTCGAAAAGCAACCGATTCTGAGACATATCAACCACCGATTTGAAGTATAACATCTATATATCTGTCTATTCAACCGTTAATGTCATACAATAATACGGTTAGAATATTGGGTGAAAAAAAAGATAGTGAGAAATGTTGTTCTGATGTGAGATTAAATGTATCAAGTAATTGGAATTTATTGTATCTAAATAGTATCCAAAAGCTAACTGATTGGACAAGTAATAAACGAGACACAATGCGACTACAATTGCTTAAAGGAGAACTAATGAGAAACAATAAAATATTTATGTTGGCAACTTTTGGAGTTAACCGTAAACTATGTTTCGTTATGACACACCAAGGACTTAAACAAGTAAGGAGCTTGAAGTTAATGTCTGAGCAAAGAACCTATGCTACAAAGCAGAGATGACATATCTGACCTCAAGGAGAATAAAACTAATACACAAATCACTTGATATATGTTTGCTCCAATCCACTCACTTTTTAAGTAAACATTTGCCTACTTTCGTTCTAGCTTTTGAACAACTACTATGATACGACTAATGGATGCTCATTATTACGAATCTGCAATCACAACTGATGAGAATTTTAAATCTAATCCCAGTAGTGATTCATCAGCTTTTAGAGCGCCAAATTGATATTTTAAAACATGTATAGTCGTATATCTGTAATTTTTGACAACTAGGTGGACCAACCAGTAAACGTTGTCTCATTAGATGTTCTGAATACAGTGCTCTTGAGTGCTGTTAGAGGTATGAGGACGGTTATCACTTCCCGGTTGCCCACATCGTGGGAGGGTTCTTCTAGAGGTACCTGAGAAGGAAATCGGATTAGAAGTGGTCTTAATGGTCTGAGAGCGTGACCGCAGTGCCCAAGGGACAACTGCTTAAGGTCGGTCACACATGACCTTTTTGTGAGTAATTTTTGTGTTAGCTCCGTATTTGTTGGGACCTTACCGCCGCAGACGGACATCCATGGGATAAGGCAAGGTGTGCATTTTTAGGGTCGACCTTTTCTAACCCCACCCCTCCTTGTGCGAAGGCAGTGTCGCTTTTATACTGGTTGTCACACCAATGTGCAGTCAGCAGTACGACTTCGCCTTCGGACCTTGTGTTTGCTGCTTTTCGTCTCACCGCTCTTCAACCGATCTGTCTGGCATGGTAGGACCTTGAGGAACGATTGTTCCAGCCAGTATAGCTTGCTTGATTCATCACGATAGGCAAGCCCAATCACCACGTCAAGGTAGCAGCAACGGTCACTAACCATACTAGTGGTACGACATTTTATCTATTCCCAAACTATTAATCCCGATCGAGCATAATAAAAGCAGCCTGTTCTTTCAAGAAACCAAGCATACTTTAATTTGTAGCTTAATAAGGCCATCGTTAAGATTTATTGAGGCACTACATTGATGAGACAAACCCTAGGGGTATGAACTCATCGCCTGTGCTTATCAAAAAAAGAAAGGACAGATGACAAGACGATTTTGGGAGGAATTACTTCCTGATTCCATCCATGTGGTATAACTTTTATAGTTCTTAAAGCACTGTGCTCTTAAAAATACTTTGTGAACAGATTGTCACGTTATAACAAGACAAAGTTAAATTAGCTAACAAGTAGTTATAGTTGGGGTCTACATAAAGTTTACCGTGGTAGTCAAGTGGTATTAAGAATTACTAAATACTATTCTCCGATTATCCTTTCATGCAGAATTAAAGCTTTTCTCAGTTAAACCCTTGAAATATCATTTCAGATGACATTAAGCTTAAAGCAAGCTACAGATAGCATGAAATAAATATATATATACCGGACACATGTGAGATGAAATGTTTGTAAGGATAGATAACCACCAAACAACATCTGAAACTTTACCTTCTATTATAAATGGTTCCAGTTCTTCAATCTTGAGATTCAACTGAGCAGCTGCATCTTGATAACTAAGTTCGTTCACATTCTCAGACAACTGCATTAGCGTCAGAAGTCGGAGTTTGTGGATACAAGCTTCTTCAGATAGATTATTTTGATTTAAAAAGTTTGGATGTTTAGTCAGGAAGTTTCTGAATGTATTCAGATCTCCAGAGACAAATATCTTGAAGAACTGAAAAGGTTATGGTCGAATTACAACTCACATCATGGACAGGTTCACCTTCCAGGTATTGAACTGGTTTGAGAGCGTACAATTGATCATGCGATAATAAAGATGGATCTTGCAACACAGATATGATACATCTAAGAAAGAATGTATGGTATGGAATATACTACTTTATTGCATTTTGTCTGGCATTCATAGCAGTTAGTTCATTATAGGTTGAAAGGAGATATATCATTGCTTCAATAGCTTTTCGACTTTCACCCATTGAAATATGTGCATCATACAACTTTTGCCACACTTTCTGGCATTCCTCAACTGTGCAATCACATTCGCTTAGCCAAGAAGCAACCTAAAACTGTGAAATATGTAAAGCTAAGCCAACCTTCTTTGGTGCAGTTATTACTTCGTTGAGAACACCCATTTTTTCTGCACATTCAATTAGAGTGAGATATATTTCATAACGGGGATGACTTTTAGGATTCAGTCCACAAAACAAAAGGTTCAGCCTAAATATTAGATTAATCAACAACAATCCCACGGGAAAAGTTTGCTTCTATGTCTTCGCGTGTTATCACCAGAAAAATCAAGTAACTTTTCGCAAAAAAGATGAACCGCATCAATTAATTTGTCAGGTGGAAGTTGGATAAAAATGGAGGCAACACTTGCCAAGACATCATTAACATCTAATTTTTCTAATCATCTAAAAACATTTACCAGCTTCAGCAATAGTTTCGTCTTTCCAACAGATGTCAATGTATTTAAGGCATTTAATTAGCTCGTCTGGCCAGTTCGTATCTGTACACTCAGTACTATCTAGCACTTTGGCCCCATAACTCTTGAGAAATCGTTTTAACTCAGTAACCTATTTTTGTTAACTTCATGTCGGAATATTACTTGTTTAGCATCTGTGCCATCGATAAAAACAGCTACGCTCATAGCGCGTGAGCTAAGTAACACCAGTGTTAAATTAGGCGCTTAATAATACACTAAAGGCTGTCACACATTTTCAGGGGTAATAGGAGTGATTCCGATTTGCACTTCCTCTTGAACAAGTAATCTTAAAAATTATTTAGTTCTTTCTATAAAGGCCGTGCCATCACCTTAATTGTTAGGTAGTTCAAACACTGAGTAATCAATAAAATAAATCTACCTTAGGCTAAACTGCTCACTGCAAAAGTTAGTTCATATAGAAGATTGTTAAATAACCTTCTGAAACTAGTGTCTCACCTATGAAAAACAGTTACTGATCATATTGGTTGTCACAACATTATTTAAATCGATTCAGTGTGGTACATTGTCCATGTTATGCTTGAGCCTACGTGAAACACTTCTCCTGTTCCAGATGGATAACGGCCTCACATTCATCTACTTCTAAGTTCCAATGTATATGCTGTAACTTCAAGTCCCGTTATCTTCACCCTTATGCATCACACTGGTACTCTACTTGAAAGACTTTCCAGTTTGATACAAGCAACGTCAGATTATGACATACCAATGCACTTTCCGTGAATAAACTACCTTACCACACTCGGAAGCCTTTTCTTAAAAGGGATTGATGATTAAAATTCCTTCAAAACTAAGGTCCACAAAACTCATCTCTTTTTTACTGCTCCGGATTTCAGGTACAAAAGTGAGAAACACAAGCGTACCGAAGGAGGAACTACACTGGCCCTGCACAGCACATTCTATCGGAGCCCAAGTAAACAAACACATGGCAGTCGAAACCAAACACAGCTTCCTGTATAGGTAAGCGAATCCCAGGAATACATAGCCTTGTGATTCTTCAACATTGGTGCTGATCCCAATGGTTTAACTGGACAGACACTTGCTAAAGGCACTCGACTACGTATTTGCACATGATCACAAGTGGGCACTCCGTGCTCACTAGCTAGCTTGGATCAAGCATTTCTAGATATATCAATAACTTCCAAAATATCTTCTAACCCCTTCATTTCTGACTACGGATTTGGCTGGATTAACATCCCTCGAATATAGAGGTGTTGAGGGTATGGGCGTTGTCAAACTCTGAATATCTGTGGCATCTTTAAGCTCACTCCTCCACGGACCATAATAACTGACTCAAACCACCATGTTGATAAACCACGAAGTTATCTGTAAATCAATACATGGCCCTTATAAGATCCTTTCTGAAGGTTTTTTGTGTGCGAATTCCTCCATGTATGCACTTGTAATCTGTTCCTATTGATTCCTCCAGTTGTACATTTTGTTAATATTTTTTATCCCATTTGAGATGGAAAGATTTGTATTTCGTTATGGTCTTTATTTTCCTCGCGCCTTCACTGAGTTTCGCTGTTTCTTCCTGAACTGCATTTATGTTGTTTTATTTGATACTTAGTTTTTGAGGCAGCCATATTGATTTGCTCCCTCTTTGGTCGTGTTGCTTGCACTGACTGAAGTTATGCACTTATGTTTGCGGAATGAGGCACTCTTCCAGTATTGGAAACACTCATGTGATCTACTCAGAAAGGATAGAATATCGTTTATTTTTGGTAATTCTCTTATATTCCCTGCCAGCTTGTTTGTTTATTGTAATTTAGAATTATTACTGATTGAACAATTATTGGTTGTGTAACTGGGTGGTAATATTTTTTTAGGTAATAATGTACGTTTGTATTTATAATGAAATGTAGAACCGTCAATTACCCAATCACTTTGATTTGGTTTCAACTAGGCAATAGAGCGTATCTAAACTACCTAAAGAGTGATTATTCAGCCCAAACCTTAGTTTCAATTCTACACCTTTCTTGATTTTTATTTCTTTTTATCACACGAGTAATTCTATATAGATGGTTGGGAAAGCTAGTGATCACATTTCATGAACTTATGGTTCAACCCTCCGGTATATTATCAGGGAAACTCGGAATCCATCCAGTTTTACCACGAAACCATAAGTATAACTCTTTAAGTCATTATTTGAAAACGTAACTGCTTCTGTAAAGCACAAGCAGTGATCTTCATAGCTGTAACATCAATTGATTTTTATCAGGTGAAATTAGTGAAAGGCCTGCAACAAACGGAGTTCGCTTACAATCGAGCAATTTGTGTAAGATCTTTTCTGGATATGATCTCAGTTCTGTATTGATCGCTCAATTAATTTAAAATTCTTTATTATTAAGCGCTGCGTGAAAATCATATTCACATGATTATCATTCTTCTCGTTCATTTTTATTCAGGAATGCCACTTTTATTTAGATTTCGTTCTTGAGTAGGTGGATTTACAGCTTCAAAATAACCTCAAAGCTAAAAATGAAGAACTATGCCTACATTTCGACAATAACAACGATAAACAACACTAACGAGTATGTAGACAACAACAACAACCAGAAGTGACATAAAGGTCAAGTGCATTCCAGTGAGGCCAAAATGAGTAAATTTCCTGAGGATAGACTGGTCACGGGTGATGATCAATGTCATGCGTGTCAAGTCCTTCTTTAGTGCTGATCGAATGCTATCGATCAAGTTGCAATGTGGCCACCAGTCAAGGTGGCTCGACACTGCCAGGGAGCATCAGTTCCCTCAAGATTGCAGGTACACCTTGCTGACGAGTGCCAAGTAGCACGAAACCTGGGTCCAGGGTTTCCTGTTGACCACCTCCAACCACCATCTTGCCTCAATATATATAGTGCAAGCAGTGTCAAGCCACCTAGACTGGTGGCCACATTGCAACTTGATCGATAGCATTCGATCAACACTAAAGAAGGACTTGACACGCATGACATTGATCACCACCCAGTGATCAATCAATTTTGATTACATTTTAGTCCTACAGGAGGTTGTTCGCGGCCCGAATAGCTCAGTGGTAAAGTCTCTGACTGTGAAGATGAGTGACATGGGATCGAATCCTCCAGGGAGCATCAGTTCCCTCAAGATTACAGGTACACCTTGCTGACGATTGCCAAGTAGCACGAAACCCGGGTTCAGGGTTTCCTGTTGACCACCTCCAACCACCATCTTACCTCGACAGACTGGTATATATATGAATGAATATTTGTGCATTTCATTTGGTAGTCCGGCACACTTTCTCCTTCAACTAGTCAGTTGGGGGGAGGGAAACGCGCCACATGCCGTGTATCACCATGAGATTTAGAACACCTCACGTCAAAACAGTACCATAAGTCGGCTCTAGTCAGCCAACGAAACCTTGTTGGGAGCTTGAATCATTAGAACATAAGTAAAAGTAAGTGACATGCCTGGTCTTCATTTCTAAAAATATTTTCTTCGAAGACACTTTCGAAAAATCAAGGATATTCCCTGATGTTTTGAGTAGTCATATAAAATGATAAAACTTAATTAATTTATTTTTCTAGTTGAAACAGACTTTCCTCATTCTAATGTTATGATTGAACGTCTATCTTATTTCAACAGTTTGCCTATTCTGGTATTATTTTTCCACATTTTAATGTTGTCTGACATTTCAACCTCGCTACAGACATTAGCTGCCATAATTTGTTAGCTATCATAGGTTGTTGTAACGAACCCTACAAATCTATAAAGAAAGAATTTTCCTCCGGCTGTAAACGAACCCAATAAATATGGTAGAAACCTTCGAGTTGATGTTTGCAATGCATTTCACATAATTTCGTAATAATGGTACAGTTTTAGAACATAATCTCACTTCTTGGCTGCCAGATTTGACATATCACTTAGCAGTGCGATTGAGAACACCATGAGAAACCGATACATATTTTATTGATCTCTAGCTAGCGAATATTGAATTCATTAATTAAACACTAATTATACGGATTCTCTGCTTCTATATGTACCTGCTAGTTCGGCCGCTACTATGGCACCATGTTTGTACAATCGGCCAAATGCATTTTGGCATAGCTGAACACGATCACCGGTGGTCTAACGAAGGATAGAGAAAAAACAATGCAAATCTCTGTTCCTACACACCAAGTCAACCTAGCCTCTGCATGAATGTAATGTGTGCTGTACGTTTTCAATGAACTTGCCTTGTTCTTCCAGAACTTACCTCTTACACCAAAGGGATTATAAGTGCTCAAACGTCTGAAGAAATACTTATTTTCATTTCTAATCCTCATCTTATATAATCTGTGGTAATAATTAAATTGTTTGGTTTCTCTTCGATTATTTCCACAAAAACAGTTAGTATTTATGTTGGGATATATAATTTCAAATGTTTTTTTCTCACGGAAATAGGAAACATGTTCGTTGCAGCACATCCAGTTTTCAAAGTTCAAAATGTATAGCAGATCAAGTAATACGGGGCAGTTTTCTATTCATTTAGTGGATGGTTATATTATTTTAAAGCATAATTTTACTATGGACTGCATTTCAATCCCTAGGTTTTACTTCATTTGCTTTTACCCATCCTCCTAGTTGGAATGCGATACAGTAGCGGGTTCATAGGAAGATACATGGATAACTTTAGATGACAGGGAGGGATGGCGAAAAAGTGTATGCTACGGGTTCTTGCTCATATGTTGTATGTTATTGGATATTTCGGATACCGTCAGTTATCAGCTATTAACAGCATTTTTTGCCATCACACTTGAGCTTCCGCATTGTTTTGTGCTTGTTACATAGATTGTATTCTAGTTATTTAGTAGTTTGATGTAGATTTTGAATATTAATTCGATCTAATGTAGTTGTGTGTTATAGTGTAAATTCGAACAAGTGAAATTCACTATTTATGAAGTCAAAAGTAGACCATTGCCAGACATTTAAAAAAAGGGCCTGAAAAACACAACATACGATTTGTGACCCCATATGATGTTGATGAACAAGGATGACTGGTTGTTGTTTGGTAAACGCAGGCTGAGACAACTTTGTGTTAAACTATTTCAGAACACTATACAAGATTTTAATATACAAAAATAAATAACCCTTACCATTATAATCATGAACATTTTTGACGGAACTGACAAATTATTATGTAGCTTTTCTGAGAA